CCTGCGGCTTGAAAGCTTACCACAGTCATTAAAAGGGTGATTTTTTTGGGGGGGGGGGAGAGGTTTTTTTTTTTTTTTTTGCTATAGGATGGGTGTGCTCACCAGAAAGACAGAGAGAGACAGAGAGAAAGAAAGTGAGTTACCCACCCCCATAGGAAATGGCCATACCCCAATCCTTTGCCCTCCATTTTTCTGTCAGGATTTTGGACACTCATGCACATGCAACCAGTGTGAAGTCACCAGGTCTGGGACTTGAACCACAGTCAACCACATGGGAGTCTGTGATGTACCTATTATACCATATGCTGGTGCCTTCATTATTTATGAAAACAACAACAAAAACTTCATATATAATTTGATTCTGATACCACATGATAACAGAATGAAAACTAAAGACATTGTCCTTCCTGTCATCTCCTTCTTTAAGTTTGTGTTTTTCTTTTTTTCTTTTTTTTTTTTTTTTTTTTGAGAATGTATTACTATTTTTAAAAATAAACACTTTGCATGTACTGAATAATATGTCAGGTGTTTTATATACACATAGAATGTATTTGTGCAGGCCAGTGTCTGGCCAGGGTGGAAACTCAAGCAATATGACTTAAAAATGTATGTTATTAACCATTATATGATAGAAACTACATTTTTTTTTTTTGGTATCTACATGATAGAAACAGAAGAATATTTTTTACAGATGTTAAAAGCAGGAGCTGAAGGTGTTTTAAAACAAACATTGAGCAGCTCCTTTATGAGTCAAGTACCTACTGGGTATACAAAGTAAACAAAATGTTGTTTCCACCCTCAAAGATAACAGAGTCTGCCAAGAGACAAGGATATATTAACACTAATTATAACATTACTTTCTAAAGTAGCATCTCAGGACTAACAGGAAAACGTGAGAACAGAAGACTGGCTTAGTCTGGGGTAACGAGACGTTGTCACAGCATTAAAAGTGGGCCCTGAGTTGTAAGTCGGAGGGATGTTCCATAAAGAGAGTACATTTGCAAAGACACGGATATAAGCCATATTTGAAAAACAACAACTCCAAGGTGCTTCTAGGGCTCAGGAATCAGGTAGGGGCTAGGAGGAAGCAGAGTTGGAGCAGGCAGGATGAACTAAGACATCATGTACTCCAAGCTAAAAGAGAAGATCAAACCATAAATAGCTTTGAGTATTAGAATGCTTTATCCAGGGAAGTAACACAGCAAGAGCAAAGATTCAGAGGAAGAACTCGCCAGTCATGAGAAGATGGGTGAGAAGGAGGGACACTAGCAGAACAAATAGTTTCAGTTCCAAGAGCAAGAATATCTGATTTAGTAATATCAAAGGAGCTTTTATCATTTTATAGTACTTTTTGTAAAAAAAAAAAAAAGAAAGAAAGAAAAAGAAAGAAAGAAATACAAGACTGCAGATCGTCAAATGTAAGAACTGTATTTGCTGGGAAAGGCACACACCTAGGCCCATCCCGAGATGGATACTAAACTTAAGCTATGAAATATTGCTTTTGTTGACTAAAAATGAAGATTTTCTGCCGAGACTTCCCCCTCCAGATTCATTTCTACTGGCCTCTATGCACTAAGTGTCTCGACAGGTCCAAGTGAAGAGGATCCAAATATCTGAATACAATTAGAGTCAGAATTTTCCTCTATTCCAATGAATTTGAAACACAAAGAGTGAAAACGAAATGGAAGAGAGATTGCAGATCACCTCCTCCTGCATACTTCTGAATGCTCAGATTGAACTTCAAGAATTAGGAAGAAATGCACCATCCATCAGATGACTAGAAATTACTACTGGGTCACAAGAAATATGGAAAGCAAGAAAATACACCTACTCCAAAGGAAAAGAATAACTCCTCTTCATCCTCAGACAGTACAATGAAACTCATGGAAACGTCTGATGAAGAATTTAGAATATTCATAGTGACAAAGCTAACAGAGATGGAAGAGAAGAGAGACAATGAACAGCAGAAGAGGCAGGAGAAAGGAGCTGATGAGTTCCAGGAGGTGAGGAAATTCTTCCAAGATCTAAAAGAGAAAATACAC